TCTGTGCACTTTTTGGCCGACTTCAAGTCCATGCAGACAGTCTGTCGGTCAGTGTCTGGCTGGGTTTAGAGCAGAGACGGTTTTCTGGAATTCCTTTGAAGTCAGGCAGTGACCATGGGATTTTTTAGCTGGAAAGGTTGTGAGAATGACCCGTGCGCTGTAGCCACTGTCACATGGCATTACAAACACCACAAACACCACATACTTCACTTTTCATATCACTAAAGTGGAAGATATACAAATGGAAACTGCTTTAGCGCTTGATAAGCCAGGCATTTATTAATGGTACTGTCAGCATCACTATTATTATTACTTAGGTTTAGGGGTTTTGTCCAAATCCTAAGTTTTAAACTTCAACCTGACAATAAAATGGGACAACTTGCCCCAATTTACTGCATTTGTAGAGTACTTCAAATCTTAAAAGTGTATTTTTAAAAACGGTACACTTTCATTACCTTTTTTTAACACACTTAATTGCACTTTTAAAGAGTGTACTTTTGCAAGTTTTACTTTAAAGTACGTTTTTAAACGTTTTAATAATATTTGAATTTGCTTTAAAGCACTACACTTATTTTCATGTGTTGACAAACAAATTTTAGCTGTAGTGTGTTATTTAAAATTATATATTAAGTTAGTGTATGTAGTAAACTAAAACTATCATTACAAATGTGTAATTACAAATGTATTTAAATACATTACATACAAAGAAATTATGTTAAAGTATATTTTAGTTTTATCATAAATGCTCAGCAGTTCACGTTAACCATATTTCAATGACAAAAAGCACTGTAAAGTTCAGCTAATTGCATTTAACATAAATTGAAACTATAATGCATTTTCATGGTTAGTTCACCAAAAATTGAAAACGCTGTCATTAATCATTCACCCTCATGTCATTCCAACTAAAAGCGACACTGACTCTGGTTTTTTAAGTTTAATACTGTAAAGCTGCTTAATTTAAGGCTATCTATTTCAGAAAGTACTATATAAATAAACATGACGTGACTGGACTTCACTAGAGTACCGAACTGCAGAGCTTGTGCAAACATCCACATTGCTGTAATTAAATGCGTTCTTAACTGCTGCTTTCTCACCGCTGTCAGTTTTTGTTGTGTTTATTTCATTATTGAGAGGAAAGCGCACAGCATATATTTACACTACTCAGCAGCTTCAGGTTAGGCGGCGTTTGCTTTGAAGTCAGGGTTGCCAAGTTTTCACAACAAAACCCACCCAATTGCTACTCAAAACTAGCTTAAAACTAGCCCAATCGCATTTCGAGGGGGGGGTCCCCGGTATAATTCGCATTCCAGGGGCTAAATATCACGTTATTGGGGTCGCTTCAACCCGCAGACATGAAAAACAACCTGCGGCAACAGTGTTAAAGTAACCCAATTCTTGGCAACACTGTCTGAAGTGATGTGTCTTCTTCTCTTGAACTGCATCCAGTATAGAGGTCTGCTACCCGGGTTTATAGAACGAGCTTTAACTGACGAAAATGACCATAATTTGCACGATGGAAGAATTATCGTCTTGTCGTAGGCTATACAACCATTCAAAAACTCGGCAGAATTTATGTGACCGCTGCACCTAGTGTTCAAACTTTCATAACTAGTAAGTGTTTTTCTTTTGCCTTCTGAACTAGCCGAGCCTTAATGATTCTGTTTCTTTACATGTATTTGCTTACTGACCGTTGCATGCAATCGTGAAATACAGCATTTTTTAAAATTGGCTATTCGTTGTGGGAAAATAAAAAAGATTTCGGGTTCGGGTCGGGTTCGGGCTCTAAATTGAACTGTGCCACTCGGGTCGGGTCGGGTCAGACGATCTCGGGTACGGGCTTCACTTTAAAGCCCGTGCAGACCTCTAATCCAGGAAGGCTGAATGACAGTCTTGCGCTATTGCGCCACACTGGTCAAACCGCATTATTGCAGGCTCTTACATTAGGTCATCAAACGACTACTCGACAGCAAAAATATTTGTCGACAATTTTTTTTTTGTCGACGTTGTCGACTAATCGTTTCAGCCCTAATAGACAGCAATGCAACTACCACATTCAAGGCCCAGAAAGGTAGTAAGGACATCGTTAAAATAGTCCATGTGACATCAGTGGTTCAACCGTAATGTTACGAAGCTATGAGAATACTTTTTTTTTTCGCAAAGAAAACAAATAACGGCAAATTAATAGGCTGACAAATTCAATGTTATGCTAACCTTCATGTAAAGTTCTATTCACGCTAAGAAAACTTAACATTTCCAGTGAACCCACAACCAAAATCTTATGTTTGGAAAACATATTTAGAACAACAGTTCAAGCTTGCTACAGTATTGTCATACTAGATATGGGTTGTAGTACAGAGGGCCTTGTAAGTCATTGACAGGGTTTTTAAATGACTGCAAATAAATTTCAGCATCACATTTTTTACTGGCAGGTGTCTCACCAACTATTGTTTTGGTTTTTGTGTTCAGTCAAAACACTTTAAATCTTTCCTCGTGATGTCATGCAGGCTGCTGGCATACAGACACACACGTACATATACGTAGACTGCATGTTTGGGCTTGAAACGACACATACCAGAATTTGCAAACATGTGAACATCTCATGAGCTTTTGAATGAGTTACACTTGTTCTCTTTGTTTTTGTCTGCAGGACTCCCCTGACAGGAATCAGTGATTTCACTTCAACCAAAAACAAGATCATTCAGCTCTGTCTGGAACTGACCACAACTGTCCAGAAGGTTTGTCACTGTGTTCATTAGCTTTGATCTCCTAGTCAAAGCTTTGCAAACATTCACTGCACACTGAAAAAAAAAAGTTAACCCAAAAATGGTTACCAAAAATCTAAATTAAGTAGTTTTTATTAAAGTCAAAAAAATATTTGACATCACTTAAAGGGTTAGTTCACCCAAAAATGAAAATTAGCCCATGAATTACTCACCCTCAAGGCATCCTAGGTGTATATGACTTTCTTCTTTATAGTTATATAAAAAATTGTCTTTGATCTTCCAAGCTGTTTAATGGCAGTCAGCGGGTGTTGCAGCGCATCAGTCCAAAAAAAGTTAAATAAAGCGCATCCATCCATAATAAAAACACGGCTCTAAACGTAATAATCAATTTAATCTAGCTTGCACTCACTGTTGTACACGGAAGCAGCT